ACACACACACACACACACACACACACACACACACACACACACACACACACACACACACAGATCCTTATTCTTCACACGGCGAGGAGACAGAGATGGAGAAATGGATGGATGGAGGTGCACAGAGCTTGCGGAGCACAAAAACAGGGTCACTTCTGGATCCTCGTTGGATTGGAAGGAAACAATGGCTGGATCTTTGAAAGCCATTGGATTATAATACGAAACTGTGTTTAACAGCATCGTTTGTTATCGTTTCCCAGTGATTTTTAAGATTAAGTCACACTCTTTATATGAACAATCTATACATATATACATATATATGTATGTGTGCAACTTTCTTTTCAATACTGTTCAAACAGCTGCTTTTCCAGCATACAAAAATGTGAAAGACCCCTCTGAAAACACAAGAAGAAGAAGTTACACCTGGAGCTGATTACAGGAAAAGACTTGGCTGGAGTTGGAGTTACAGACAGTATTTGTTTTGCTTTGCCTCCCTGTGAATTTAAACTATGACCAGAAGAGGGCGCTGTTTAATTACTGAAGTTATTTTTCTTTTTAAATGTGGCATTCGCTGTCAGAGCTGAGGCATCCAAAACTTTCCTATTGCCAGCAAAGCGTAAACTACATCAACTCAAGCAGCCGCAACCTGAAAGGATCAACTTTATCTGCACATTTGATCTGTCAACAGCTTTTGTTTCAAATAATGAAAACTGGACACACACTTCATCACACCAGCAACTAAAAMCACAACTTTAGAACACACGGACACTGGACAACCCCATTCTTCATCAGTGCTATTCTTTATGTTGAGCCTCTTGAAATAATTTTCAAAAAAATGAAAAATATGTTTTTTTGTGGGTTTCGAGCTGTGATTAGCAATCAGTAAAAGTGCAATCTTAAATGATATATAAATATATATACTTTCAGTATGAAAATGTTTTGTTTTATTGAATCTTTCTTCTTTTTTTAAATGCCTGCTTGTTGCTTATGTTTGACTTTGAAAAATACAACCCTTCATGTACAGTGAACTTTTAAACAATCAGAGGAGATTTGCGGGATGTGAAAAATGTTAATAATAACAATAATAATAAAAAAACAACAACAGAGGCACTTTAGAGACTTTCATTCTGTCCCTACCTACTATTCCATTACAGTCAACTCAGACTTTTCTGCTTTTGCAGTGTGTTTTGTTTTTAAAGCACAATGCCACATGACCATAAGCTGACACTGACATTAGCTGAAAGGGTTAAAAAGATGATTTAGTGCACAGAAGAGCAATACATCCTGAATAAAGTGAGGAGGAGGAACCACGTTTTTGCTCTGTTTGTTGATGTGAAAATCAGAGAAAGAGCATCTGAGTCAGCCTCGGTCCGTTTCCTTAACTCTCTGTTACCGTCTAGTCTGTCACTCCAAATCACAAATTCTGGTGTCTCAGCTGGTGATTGGCTCCATTCAAATTTATGTTTTAGTTGATTTTTCATCTACAAAATGTCACTTAAAATGCTYTGAGCTCAGTTTAGACAGATGTTAGTATTGTTCCCTAAGATTTTGGCAACAGACGGTGCTGAAAAATGCAGGAGTTGCATACATACACACTGAATACATTCATAATATGGACATTAAAGGAATAGTTCAAATATTTTGGAGTGGCATTGTGTGGTAAAGTAATGAACAATTATTATCTTATAAAAYTCAGCTTTGGAAAGTGAAAATAAACCACATTAGTACTGGAGCAGAATCCAGATTAAAGTGGACTGCAATGATCTTAAAACAGCTTAGAAAATCAACATAGATTTTTGTGAAGCCTACATTGTACCTTCACACCAAAATCATTTTGCATAACAAGATTATTTCAGTTCAAAAATATTATTTTCTTGCTGCCTAAAACTATTTAAACTGTAAAAAACATTTATAGCAGTTCATGCAAATGCTATTTTATTAATTTTTATTATCTATTGTATTATTTATTTTATATGAATTTCTATTTTATTTCAACTAGTTTACATGAATGTTCTGGCAGACATTTTCCCCCAGGTACTCCAGTGCTATTAGCATTAAATGAAGGTAAAATACACCCAAAAAACAGAAATTTAACCAGTTCGCATGGTTAGGTAAATCCAACACATCTGTTTTTTTGAGTGAAAAGTTATTATAAGGTTTTGCATGCACTACAATAAACTTTTTGTATTTGCGAATGGAGTTGTTTAAGACAGTAGAGACCTTTGTTCATGTCGGCTTTGCTCAGACTAGCCATCAGTGTGATCAGAATGAAACTCAGTTTAAAGAAACACTTCAAACTGAGGCCATTCCAAAAGCTATCTACATCAGGTATGATATTAACTGCTCATTACTTTACCACAGACACCCTCACTTCAGCAGAACCACATTATATTGTCGACAATACGACTTCCGATGCAGTTACTGGCAGAGAAACATCTCTTCATCTTAATCAGGGAATTCAACAAAAAAAGTATATTTTTGTAGACCTACCAACAAACATTTTTGTAAATATTTCTGCTGCCTTTTATGCTGTGTAAAAGCTCTCAATGTAAAATCTTAAAACCAAGCCAACCAAGTTATTTGATAGCTCTGCCAAATGCAGTTGTTGGATGGAAGCCAGTAAAAAGAAACAGTAACCTTTTCGATTAAGGTACCTTGAAATCTATACACTCATAAACTAATCCCAACACACACACACACACACACACACACCTGCACACTTCAACACTGACTTTCAGTAAAGAAGCCAAATCCAGGAAGCAGTTTTCTCACATGCACACTGTATGTGTTTGCATATATGTGTGACAGACTTCCCTCTCCCCCTCCTGTTTTTATCTAATGGTCACATATGTTATCATTATTTATGTATATTGTTTCTGCACGTCATTATGCCCAGCTGTATTATCATTTTGGCAAAAGCATATCAGCACCTTGTTGTTTATGAGTTCCAGATGATTTTATTTCTAAAGATGTCAATTTATAAAACAAATATTCATCATATGTTATCGTCTTTAAAAAGTATTAGGACATTTTATGATGGGCGGGGGGACTTTGTAATTGCCTATAACTTTTCTGTCAAAAAATCCTCTTTTTAAAATGTTGTAACATATTTGATGGTGAAGATAAAAAAAACTATTTCAAAGTTTTACAGCCTGTATATATACATTGGAAAAATAGGGCTTTTGATCTGTAGATAAAGGAAATACATTCATACACATCCAGTCGTTTCAGAGACTGTAATTTATCTAATTGATAAGAAAAGGGGCTAAAATCGTTCATTGTGTAAATGATCGAATGTGATGTTCTATATCAGTTTGCTTTTATTTCTTTTTTTTGGGTTTGTGATTCATGGTCAAATCATTTTATTATTTTATAAGGCTGAAGCAGTGTTTGCTATAATCAACAATTTATTTGTACACTGATCATATTAAGGTACTCAATTCCCTGTGTTGCAATTTTGGTAAAAAAAAATGATAACAGCAATCAAGCACAAATCAACAGTTCATGTACTCAGTTTTCAGTACATGACGTTGCATGCCTTAACATACCAGTTTAAAAAAAAGACAAAAAAATTAAATTAGACTTGAAGATGGTGTCTCTACAGGACAGGGTGTATTGTATTTCCCACTGCATCTCTTTCCTCTTTTTAAAGCATAATTTTGTTATGGTAACCAGGGTCAAAGTTATGCAATAATTATAATGAATAGTGCCTCATATCACAAACTTGTAATATTAACTGCTCTGTGCAGCGTTACACTTTCAACGTGTGTTCCTCAAATGTTACATTTCAAATAAGGAAAACCATAATCTTTATTTTTTGGAAAAAAATAAGCACAGACAATAATATGCAAGTCGGACCTCTCGAAGGGGTAGTCCAGATCTTTTAGAGTGAGTAACTGTGGAGAAGTTGTGAATAAATAATATCTTTCCTGCTGTAGGAGGGTAAATCTGACCAGAATAAGGCCTGGTCTGAGCTGGACCAAGAACAACTCCAGTTTACAAAAGTAAATAAATAAATAAATAAATAAATAAATAAATAAATAAA